GATTACATTCTTCCAGTTGTGCTGCTATTCTCACTATCCTTTTCCAAATTATTCCATCACCATTATCTTCAACTCACTGCCCCCTAGGCTTCCATCAAACCTTTTGAGTTGCTGTTATCAATTTGATCTCACATAGATAATTTTTTTTTTTCTTTTTTTGTACCTTAGATGAAGGTTTGGTAAAGTCTTTTGATGACCAAAGTGTTTCATTTTTATGATGTCCCATTTATTTATTTTGTCTTTTGCTGTTTGTGCTTTTGTTATTATATTAGATAATCCATTGTTAAAAAGCTAGGCCTGACAGCGTTGCCCCTGCTTTTACTTCTAAGAATTTTTTAGTTTGTACATTTAGGTCCTTAATCCATTTTCAGTTTGGTTTTGTGTGTGTCATGAGGCATGGATCCTGTTTTTTCCAGCACCATTTATTGAAGACATTCTTCTTTCTCCATTGTATGGACTTAGCACCCTTGTCAAAAATTAGTTGCCCGTAGATGTGTGGGTTTATTTCTGGACTCTCAGTTCTATTCCATTGGTCTATGTGTCTATTGTTATACCAGTACAGGCTGTTTTGATTACTGTAGCTGTATAACCTGTTGCCGTCAAGTCGATTCCGACTCTTAGCGACCCTATAGGACAGAATAGAACTGCCCCATAGGGTTTCCAAGGAGCAGCTGGTGGATTTGAACTGCTGACCTTTGGTTAGCAGCCAAACGCTTAACCACTGTGCTACCAGGGCTCCACTGTAGCTGTATAGTATGTTTTAAAATCAGAAGTATGAGTCCTCCTACTTTGTTTTTCTCTTTCAACATTGTTTTAGCTATAAAGTTGAGAATTGGTTTTTCTGTTTCTGTTGGAATTTTGATTGAGATTGCATTGAAATCTAGAGATTGCTTTGGGTAGTACTGACATCTTAATGATATTAAGTCTTCCAATCAATGAATGTGAAACATCTTTCCATTTATTTAAGTCTTCTTTAATCCCCTTCAGCAGTTTTTTATAGTTTTCATTGTATAAGCCCTTCACGTCCCTTGTTAGATTCATTCCTAGGTATTTCATTCTCTTGGGTGCTATTATAAATAGAATTGTTTC